TGATGGAGGAAGATGAACTCTGCTTCCCACAACTTCTCAACACTTCTTGCAGGAAGCTGAAGCGTTCAGAGTTTGAAACTGTGGTGGTTTCATTTGTACTATGTTTTATTTCTTTGGTCACTGTTTCTCTCAACCTCTTGGTCGTCATCTCAATCTCTCACTTCAGGTAACCAGTAGTTCCAGTTGGTTGCAAAGGCTGTAGTTGTACACAGGGAAGGCAAGCACATACATGAAAGCAACTCACAGTAAACTGTTAAAATATATGTCAAGAGTTTGCACAGGAAACTGATTGTTAAAATATTAGATGTCAGTTTTACATTTCTTAAGGTGATGGTGACTGTTGAAATAATGCCTGCTTCTTCATATTACTTCTTCAGGCAGCTCCACAGCTCTACCAACCTGGTCCTCCTCTCTCTGGCTTTCTCAGACTTTTTTGTGGGGCTAATGATTTTACCTCAGCTCATGCTTTTAGACGGATGCTGGTACGTTGGTGATTTAATGTGTCTTTTGTATTATGTTTTTGTTGCAGTTATCACGTCTGCCTCAGTGGGAAACATGGTGCTCATTTCAATTGACCGTTATGTGGCTGTATGTGATCCTTTACATTATCCCAACAAAGTAACCCCAAAAAGAGCTCAGATATGCGTGTCCCTGTGTTGGACCTTCTCTCTCTGCTATGCCATTATACTGCTGAAAGATAATTTTAAACAGCCAGGCAGGTTTAATTCTTGCTCTGGAGAATGTGTGATTGATGTTGGTGTTATTGAACAATCTGTAGATCTTTTTTTAACCTTCCTTATTCCTATTACAGTCATCATAGTTTTATATCTGAAAGTTTTTGTGGTGGCTGTGTCTCAGGTTCGGGTCATGCGCTCTCATATTTCAGCAGTCACACACCAACATTCAGGAAAAACCATCATGAAATCTGAGATTAAAGCAGCCAGGACTCTTGGAGTTGTTATCGTTGTGTTTCTCATGTGTCTGTGTCCATATTTCTGTGTCACAATTGTAAAACAGGACAACTTACTCAATACTTTATCTTCTGCCCTTGTCTTGTGTCTTTTTTATTTCAACTCTTGTCTAAACCCGGTGATTTATGCATTTTTCTATCCTTGGTTTAGAAAATCTATAAAACTCATTATTACACTTCAAATACTGAAATCTGGCTCTTTTGACACCAACTTTCTTTAAAGTTACACTAACAGAGGACTGAACAGGGGGCACCTAATGGTGTAAATACTACATGAAAATTAAGCTAAAACTACTCAGACTGTAGCGTTATGATATTAAAATTCTTTGATAACATTATATTCTGTTAACAGCAACAATAAAGTCTTAATGTTGAGTCTTAGTGTTCTTTGTTCAGTTAATCCCAGATGTGTCAGACAGATGGTGGTTTCTTTTTGCTGATAGATCCATTAAAGTTTGCCTCACTGACCTAGTTTTGATAACCAGAGCTGATTCGAGTGGTAGTCACAAAATAAACTGATAAAAAGGGAAAGTCACATGTGCAAGCTGTAAACACTTCTTTGTACCTTATAAAGTAATCATCTGGTAGAAATATGTGGGAGTGGGTGTCTGTCTTCAACAGGATGCTGTCCCCAGGAGTGTCCAGCCTGAACAGACGAGGCCCAAGTTTAAAACCCCAGGTCCTCCCCAACTGTTCAGACCAATCAGATAAAACACATTCTCAAAATAACTGTGTAATTGATAAATGGACTGTACTTATATAGCATCTTTCTATCTTATCAAGATAAGTGCTTTACACAGAGCTTTATTTGTAAACTGATTGAGAAAAAAATCTGTATGCCTCTTATTATTGTCCATTGTTGTCATCTTTCTTTGTTAAACCAGGTCTCTCTTGTAAATGAGTCCTCGAGGCTCAATGGGATTAACCTGTAGAAATAAAGGTTGAATGAATTAATGATTGATGCCGGAACAGGGTGTGGGCTGGGGGGAGGTGGGGGTGCATGGGGGGTGGGGGAGGTCGGGGGCGGGGGGTGTCTGTGGGTCCTGCCACAGAAAAATTTGAATAACAGAGATGCCATTTCCTGCATTCTGGTGTATGTTAATAACAATCCGTTAACATTTACCTCCATTTTTGATTAAATTACTATTTTGGAGAGCAACAGCAGGTTGTGTGTGAATGAGCAGCTCCAATTCTGTCAGGTGTCCTAACCTCCCCTCACTTCATGGTTCTGAGCTCAACTCTTCTCCGCAGAATTTGTTGCTCCTGCTCTGGTCTCGTGGCACCGTTGAAGGCTTCAATTCTCAGTTGGCCCACTAAGGACAATCCATCCATTTATTTTATGAAAATAAATTGGACAGTCTTTTGACATTTTGATCGCTGTTGTCATTTTGACAAATTAGCGCCGTTGTTTTGAAATGTGATGTAATGTGAATAACATCAAACATTTCTCTCACTGTATTTTTAATTTATTTTTTACAGTAAGCGTTTTTATTTATCATGTCTGAAATGTGTCAGGAGTTCAGACATATCAGCAGTAGAGCTCAGTAGATCGGCATGGAGACACTGTGCACTGTCTCCAGGGCATTAATTTATTCTGTTGAATAAATGATTGTTTCTGTTGTTGAACGGATCACGTCAGCAGATTCATGTGAGCTGCAGCCCCCCACCCTCCTTAGGTGATTGGGGGGGGGGGGGGTCTGAGAGGAGGGGAGAGGGGATGTTTTTCAGTGCACAGCGCCGGCGCCGCTGAGGAGGGACAATGTTTGGAGAGGAGAGAAGGACAACCCTGCAACACCTCCGTGCGTAAATGTGACCATCTGTCCCTCAGTCCTCATCACCCCCCCCCCCTCCTCCAAGCTCCTCTCCTGCTCCTCAGGAGGAGAATGTGAGCGAGCTGGTGCGCCATGTGTGCTGTGGCTGGAACGTCCATAGACTGGGTCTGCCGGGCTAAGGGCAACGTCTCCTCTCGTTGTATTTTTAATAAATAATAAAAACAAAAATGTGCGATGACTTTGGACTTTTAGGAGCGGAGATTTGTGTTTCCGGATCTGAGCAAGCAGTTGCCGGAACACAGCCTGTCAAAATAAGAGAGTTCCCGAATCTTGTTCTGGCAGGATCCGGCTCAAATTAACCCCTGACCTTACACAACAATCTGTGCCTCATTGACCCATTCATACAGCACTCTACTAGAGTTATACAAAGCTGACTGAACAAATCATTCTAAAGAGACTAATCAAAGCTTTATCACATTCATACACCAATGGGACACACATCAGATATATATTATCAGATATATATTACATATATTTTTTTCCACTTTCCTCTCTGAATAAACAAAGATGCTTTGTGAGTACTATTACCCTGGGCTGCCACCTTACCGAGGTGGAGGGGTTTGAGTGTCCCAATGATCCTAGGAGCTATGCTGTCAGGGGCTTTACGCCCCTAGTAGGGTCACCCAAGGCAGACAGGTCCTAGGTGAGGGACCAGACAAAGTGCAGCCCAAACACTCCTATCATGAGGAAAAAAAATGGACTTGATGTTCCCTCGCCCGGACGTGGGTCACCGGGGCCCCACTCTGGAGCCAGGCCTGGAGGTGGGGCACGTGGGCGAGCGCCAGGTGGCCAGGTTTTTACCCATGGATCTCAGCCGGGCACAGCCCGAAGAGGAGACGTGGGTACCCCTTCCCATGGGATCACCACCTGTGGGAGGGGCCAAAAGGATTGGGTACAATGTGGGATGGGTGATGGCTGAGGGTGGGGACCCTGGCAGTCTGATCCTCGGCTACAGAAGCTGGCTATTGGGACATGGAATGTCACTTCACTGGTGGGGAAGGAGCATGAGCTGGTGTGTGAGGTTGAGAGGTTCCAGCTAGAAATAGTCGGACTCACCTCTACACATGGCTCTGGCTCTGGAACCAGTTTCCTTGAGAGGGGTTGGACACTCTTCCACTCTGGAGTTGCCCCTGGTGAGAGGCGCCGAGCAGGAGTGGGCATACTTATTGCCCACTATATTGGTGCCTGTGTGTTGGGGTTCACCCCGGTGAATGAGAGGGTGGCCTCCCTCCACCTACATGTGGGGGGACAGGTTCTGACTGTCGTTTGTGCTTATGCACCAAACGGCAGTTCAGATTATCCACCATTTTTGGAGTCCTTGGAGGGGGTACTGGAAAGTGCACCTCCTGGGGACTCCCTTGTTCTGCTGGGGGACTTCAATGCTCACGTGGGCAATGACAGTGAGAACTGGAGGGGTGTGGTTGGGAGGAACAACCCCACTGATCTGAACCCAAGTGGTATTCTGTTGTTGGACTTCTGTGCTCATCACGGATTGTCCATAACAAACACCATGTTCAAGCATAAGGGTGTCTGTATGTGCTCTTGACACTAGGACACCCTAGGCCGCAGTTCGATAATCAACTTTGTCGTCGTCTCATCTGATCTGCGGCCACATGTCTTGGACAGTAAGGTGAAGAGAGGGGCGGAGCTATCCACTGATCACTACCTGGTGGTGAGTTGGCTCCGATGGTGGGGGCGGATGCCGGTCAGACCTGGCAGACACAAACATATTGTGAGGATTTGCTGGGAACCTCTGGCAGAGTCTCCTGTGAGACGGAGCTTTAACTCCCACCTCTGGAAGAACTTCAAACATGTTCCGTGGGAGGTGGGGGACATTGAGTCCGTGTGGGCCATGTTCCGTGCCTCTATTGTTGAGGCAGCTCACTGGAGCTGGTGTCGGTGCCTGTCGCTGCGGCAACCCTGGAACCCGGGGGTGGATACCAGCGTGAGGGATGCTATCAGGCTGAAGAACGAGTCCTATCGGGTCTTTTTGGCCTGTGCAACCCCGGAAGCAGCTGATGGGTACTGGCAGTCCAAGCGACATGCGGCTCGGGTGGTCGCTGAGGCAAAAACTTGGGCATGGGAGGAGTTCAGAGAGGCCATAGAGAATGACTTCCAAATGGCTTTGGGGCGATTCTGTTCCACTATCCGGCGTCTCGGGAGGAAAGCGGTACACCAGCCACACTGTTTATAGTGTGGGTGGTGTGCCGCTGACCACTACTCGGGATGTCGTGGTTCGGTGGGCAGAATACTTTGAAGACCTCCTCAATCCCACCGGCACGTCTTCCACTGAAGAAGCGGAGCCTGGGGACTCTGGGTCAGGCCCTCCAATCTCTGGTGCTGAGGTCACCGAGGTGGTTAAAAAGCTCCTCGGTGGCAGGGCCCCAGTGGTGGATGAGATTAGCCCCGAGTTCCATAAGGCTATGGATGTTGTAGGGTTGTGTTGGCTTACGCGACTCTGCACTATTGCGTGGACAGAGGGAAGTTCCCCTGGATTGGCAGACCAGGGTGGTGGTCCCCCTATTCAAAAAGGGGGACCGTAGAGTGTGTTCTAACTACAGGGGGATCACGTTTTTAAGCCTCTCTGGTAAGGTCTATTTGGTGTTTCTGGAGGAGGGTCCATCAGATAGTCAAACCTCGGATTCAGGAGGAGCAGTGAGGTTTTCATCTTGATTGTGGAACACTGGACCAGCTCTATACTCTCAGCAGGGTCCTGGAGGGTGCATGGGAGTTTGCCCAACCGGTCTACATGTGCTTTATGGACTTGGAGAAGGCGTTCGACCGCATCCCTTGGGGAACCCTGTAGGGGGTACTCTGGGAGTATGGGGTACCGGGCCCTTTGATATGGGCTGTTAGGTCCCTGTATGACCGGTGTCAGAGCCTGGTCCACATTGCCAGCAGTAAGTCGAGCTTGTTCCCAGTGAGAGTTGGACTCCGCCAAGGTTGCCCTTTGTCTCCAATTTTGTTCATAACTTTTATCACTGCACTTTTTAAAATTGCATTTCAGACATAAAGTCCTGGATGGCACAGAACTTTCTCCAGCTAAACCAGGACAAAACAGAAGTTTTAATCATTGGACCGGAGGTTCAAAAAGAAAATACAATTCAGAAATTATAATCTCTGTATTTAAAACCTTCCAAAAACGTAAGAAACCTGGGGGTTCTTTTTGACTCTGAGCTTACTTTTATTCCTCATATCAAACATATAGTTAAAACAGGATTTTACCATCTAAAAAATATAGCCAGAGTCCGACCTCTTCTTTCTCTCACTAATACTGAGACTTTGATGCACACTTTTATTTCTAGCCGTTTAGACTACTGTGATGCACTGCTTTCTGGTCTCCCTAAGAAAAACGAGTCCAGTCTTCAGCTGTTACAAAACTCTGCTGC